AATGCCGCTATGCTAAAGTTAAGAAAGAAGTTCCAGGGCCAGGGATTTAGCTCAGTGGTTCTGCCTCACAAGCACAAGATCCTGAGTACCAAAAAAGAAAAAAAAAGAAAGACGTTCCAGCCAGGTGTGAGGGTGCATGCCTCTGGGAGGCTGAGGCAGGAGGATAGCAAGTTAGAGTGTAGCCTGGGCAACAGAGTGACTGAGTGAGACCCTATCTCAAAAATAACAAGTAACAAAGGGCTGGGGATGTAGCTCAATGTGAAGGCCCTGGGTTTAATCCCCAGTACCAAACAAAGAAAGTAAAGAAGTCCCAGTATGTAGACTTGACCTGACGAGCACATAAGAAGACAGCTGACAGCCACAATTCCCAGAAGGTCTGTGAGGAAATAAATTCAGTTGTGGATGCCAATTCTGTGTCTGGCCGCAAACCAATGGAGTCAAAGGCACACACATCTTGTCCAACAGGAAGTCGTCAAGCAGTTCCTCAGGGTTAGTGCCCAGAGGTCTCCCATGTGCATCCTACCAGTGAGGCAGGGGGGCAAATGTGATTTTCACTGGACCGATGAAGACACAGGGCTGAAGGCCTCATTCACCGGAGGCTCACAACCCCCGACCCGGACGCTGGACCTCACAGGCAGGACACCACTGAGAAGGTTCTGGGTTTTGAACGGCAGCACACGATGCATCTGTGACCGAGGGTCATCAGGAGCGTGTACCGCACCAAACCCATCACCACAAACAGGTTTCTGTAGAGCAAGGAGTGAACCTAACATGGGGCAGAGTGGGCCAGGACTGCATAGCCTTACTCAAAGCCAGTCAAAGCTTTGTTGCCAAGTTATGAAGAAACTCGCAGGCTTTAGGAATTTAAAAAAAAACTTTTAAACAATTACAGATAGGATTTTTACATCGCTAATGGAGAGATGATGGTAACCCAACCTGATTCAATTTAAGTAGCATTTGTTGCTACTGTACAAAGAACCTATTATTTGTACCGAGTCCCGTTAGTCCGATGTGAGATTTTTAATTTCAATGAGCCCCACTGGAGGTGAGGTGGATGCTGTGGACTATCTTCCCACAACGATATAAAGAACAGAACCATTTAAGTAGAATTTCTTTCTTTCTTGTGGCACGAGGAGGAATATCATGTGGAGCTTCCTATTATTCCTAGACTGATGATTCCATTTCAAAGGAGTTGATTTCAGGATGTTCCTAATGCCCTCCAGTAAGACAGAATATCAAAGCCCAGATCATTCTGTGCTCCGAAGGTCATAAATCCTACGTTTAGCCATGGTATACCCTGCATTTAAGGTGTAAGTTACTAAAAAGATGATTCTCATGAAAATTATAATAATTGTAAAACATTATTTATAGTTTTTTTGGGGGGAGGCAATATTTACATGGAGGAACTGCAGAAATTCCTAAGGAAAAGGGATTTGATCAGAGTCAGGACATTCATCCCCCTGAGGAAGGGTTAGGGAGAGGAGTGCACACCAGCCAGTGTCTCTTGCCCTTCTTTTCAGGGAGGAAGTAATGACCGCAGCCCTGAGAGGATCACCGGGACAGGCACCTAGGCTTCCGGTAGGGCACCAAGGCCTTCAGAGCTGTCTTTCCCAGTCCGTGCCCGTGCTGGTCAAGTCTGGGATCACCTGACTGGACCGAGGGATGGGGCTACTGCACTGGTAAAGCACACTTTTGGGAGTGCCTGTGAGGGTGTCTCAGAGGACGGGCATGTGGGCCGGCACATGAGTGGGTGGTGCCACTCAAAAGGATGAGGGCCCAGATGGAACCATAAAGCAGAAGGGAGAACTTGTACAGTCGCTTCATGGCGAGTGCGTTTTTCTGCTGCAGTCTTCCATGCACATGTGACTCCGGGTTCTTGAAGAAGCCCTTGAACAGACTTACACCAGTAACTCTCCAGGAGGCTTTCAGGCCTTCAGCCTCACACGGGGCTGCATCATCCCCGCCCCCCTTATGAGGCTTTTAGCTTCTTGGACTGAGGAGGTTTTCCTGGCAGTCTAACCTGCAGATGGCCACCATGGGACTTTTCAGCCTCTAATTGAGTGAGCCAATCTAATAAACCCCTCTTGTAATTACATCTATTCTTTTAGTTCTGTTTCTCTGGAGCACCTTGACTAATACAATCATATAGAGAGCAAATCTGGTTTAACTCAAAAGAACATCCAAATGTACTGTGAGGTATGTTCCGTGTCAATTCCTTAATTTTGAAATGTGCCATGTCTAGGAGACAAAGGACTGAAGACATCTAAATATCACCAGAATACAGTTATCTACAGGACAGAGTAACCAATAAAAAACAAAGATGCACAATACAATTGTAAAAGCAAAACTCTTAAGTCTAAGAAAAGTAAAGTTGATTACTATTGCATCAAAGATTAAACCCTCAAGTGTCCCTCAGCCTTACCTCCTCCCTACTAACAACTTTCAAACCAAATATGGAGTTGGCCCTGGGTTAGATGTACGGTTCCAAAACCTTGATACTGTTGACATTTGGGCCAGCTAATTGTGGCGGGGCTTCCCTGTCCATTTTAAGATGTTGGAGAGCACGATCTTACTAGATGCAGTAGCCATTCCCTCCCCAACAATGAGATAATCAAAATATGTCTCCAAATATTGGCAAATGTTCTTAGGGGTGAGTCATTCTTGGAGGACTAGGCTAGCATTCAGAAGGCTGCCCTCCGTCCTACCCCTGCAAATAATGTGTAGTGACATGGACAAAGTAAACTTTCTACCACGAGTTGGTTTCTTTAACTATGCAGTAACAGAAAGAACTTCCTTCTCTCCTACATCCCACAGTTGCCACGAAGGCTGTCCATTGTTGTTGTGAGGCTTGTTGCCCAACTGAGGCTCCTCCAGCAGAGACAATAGGAACGGTAGCCGGCCATGGCAATCACAAGGTTTCCTTGGGAAACATACTGGAAACTTTAAGTCTTCAGTGAACTTGAAAACATTTGCTAATTTTCACAGAAAAATCTTGTCTGCGGCTGCCTTGATCCCCAAAGGCTTTCTTTTTTCTTTCTTGTAATGGGGATTGAACCCAGGGCCTTCTCACTGAGCTATACCTTTTTAAAAAGTTATTTATTTTTAAAATTTTGAGACAGGGTCTCATTAAGTCACTAAACTGCCCAGGCTAGGCTTGAATTTGTGATCCTCCTGCTTTGGCCTCCCAAAGTGTTGGGATTACAGTGTTGGGACTGCTACAATGCCTGGCCCAAAGAGCTTTTAGAAATCTCTTTCTCCTATGAGGAAGTAACTATTCTCACAGCAGAATGTAGAGTTCCTCCTCAAAATCCAACCCCTCTTATAATTACATATATTCTTTTAGTTCTGTTTCTCTAGAGCACCTTGACTAATACAATCATATAGAGAGCAAATCTGGTTTAACTCAAAAGAACACCCAATGTCCTCAAGTGTAGGCCCACGAGGTGTGTTCAATTCCTTAATTTTGAAATGTGCCAAAGTCAGAATATAGATCTTTCCTTCAGAGAGAGGGAGAGGGAGAGGGAGAGGGAGAGGGAGGGAAAATATCTCCATGTACATATGCATGCTTTGCAGAGAAGAGGCCCAGGTGAAAGACTTGGTGATCTGTGGGCAAACACGAAGGTGTGTGTGCGCGCGCGTGTGGGTGGGGGGGCGTTGCTGCATGTGTCAAACTAAGGCTAATGTGCTCATTCCACATGGATGAGCAAGGGGTGGCAGCCATCTGAGCCAGAGCCCACAAATGGAAATTCACAAGGGCAACTTGACCTTAAAACCATCCAGACAGAAAATGACAGAACAATAGTCTGGAAATGCTAGGGTGGATTCATCATGTAAAAATTGCCCAGATCACATAAATGTAAACAGAAACACATAACCATTCTGTATAAAAAACAAAGTAAAACATAAGAAAAAGCCCCTTTCCAGAAAACGATAAACAGCAATGCAGACAAACAAGCAAAGACTATGGACAGTCATTTCATGAAAGGGAAAAGTGACTTAGTAAAGACAGGGTAATCCAGGTGGCTCTCAGGAGTAAGGCGAGTGCAGCTGCACACATACTGAGCAGGGCTCCAGCGTCACCACTTCTGTGCGTGGCTGCGTAGGGAGGAGGTTTGGAAGAAGTTTCGGAAATCACATTCCTTATAATGACAGCCCTCTAAATCATTCAACACTACATCTGGGCGTGAAAGTAAATGACGGCATTGAGCAGCTTCAAATATTAATACAGGTCTTGCAGTGTTAGGACAGTTGAAAATGAAGAACAGCCTAAATGGTCCAATGGTAGGAGAGTTGTGGAATCAACGAAAGGCCAAGTCATGTGGACAGCAAAGCACTAGCTGAAATATATGTAGCAAGCAGAACATACTTATAACTTCATGGCAGGTAAAAAGAACAGTATGCAAAACTATGCCACAATTTTCATAACGTACACATTTCTTTTCAGTCTTTTACATAGATAATACTAGGAGGAGTCAGACTCAAATATTAATGGTGATCTTAAAGGAATTCAGCAACTTAAACAGAAAGGTTTTCCTAACAGTTCTTGAAATGTGCTTCAAAGTAGAATAGTATCTTTCCTTCAAATACAACTTACTCCTAAGTTGCTAGGACCTCAAAAACAGAAGATAAGGTTCCATCCCTGCTTGACCAGACTCTCCATTTTGAAGCTGAAGCATGAATAGATACTGAGGACATAGTTTTGGTTCCACGTTCGTGATATAAAACTCAAAGTGGCGGTTTTCCCTCATTTGTCTTCCTGCTTATTCAAACTACCCACACTTGAAAGGGCTGAATTACTTCTACAGGACAAATACCGTACCTGAGATCCATGGTCCCATAAATCAAGGTGGGAAAGCTGGTGTCAGAAGATTTTGCATTCCCTCTTACCTCCCCTGGGAGTCAGGCAGAAGAGAGACAGAAACTGCAGGGCACAGAGCATGTGAGAGGCATGAAATTCTGGGTCGGGAGGACCAGGAACAATCTGGGGAGCAGACACTGACCTCATAGATAAAGTACACTTTGGCCCCCGTGTATATTCCCATGCGCACCACAGCCCGGACAGCAGCATTCATACCTGCGAAGGGAACAGGAACAATTGTTACTCGAGGGCCTGGGGCTCATTCTGATTCTGCTATGAATTAACGGAGTCTGTGAGCAAACTGCATAACTTCCCTGTGCTTCTGTTTCCTAACATGAGAAGTGAGTACACTAATTAGTGTAAGGAGTAAGAGAAACAGCAAAGGTAAAACAAGGCTCCTTGAATGTTAGGGTTCATCTGTGGATGGTTATGGTCACTGTAAAAGAGCTGAAAGCGCCTGCAATTCAGGACATCGCTATCTCTGCTTGGTAGAAACTTTTAGGTGTCTAAATCCAGTTGCAATACACCGGAGTGCAGGTACTTTCAGTTACCCAACTGCTAAGAAACTAAGTCTCAAAAGAGCAATCAGTCTGTGATGTGAGAGATCAAACTTGGTTATTTCATCACTACCTATCAGTGTTTAAAAAAATTCAGGTGATGGAGCCGGGCACTTAGCTCAGTGCTTCTGGCATATGCTTTCCAAGTGCAAGGACCTGAGTTCGATCCCCGGTACAAAATTAAAAAAAAAAAAATTAGGTAATGGACTTAAGACACAAGAAAACCGTGCAGATTTATTAGAAAAGGAACTCTGCCTGCCTACTATAAATCATACCTAACCAAGGTAAATCAAGGAGAAATTTCACACTTAAGAGAAATTTAGAGTATCTCCATGCAATGTATTATCTCTAAATCAGATAGATTCAATTTGGCTTTCCATTTACGCCCCACTTCTAGAAGTTGAAAGCTTCTTTGGCAGAACCTGTGGCATGGAACCTGAACTATCCTGTATCCTTGCCTTGGCTAATGAGCCCATGGAGAGAGCCCATGGAGAGAGGTGGAGAGGAACGAGGACCTCTTCCTGGAAGGTGCCTTCAGAATGCAGAAGAGCCGAGCTTTTGGTCGAATTGCTTCCAGACAAGCAACTGTTCCAAATCTCCCTACACGTGTTTACATTTTGGAAACAAGTGTCAGAACTGGAGATGTTTCAGAATGTTGAGATACTGTGATACTCGGGTAAATAAATGTACAAACAAGCCGCTCCAAGAGTATGTTATGATTGACAAGGGGACTAAATTTGTATGGTGAACTGGCTCAGAAGATGGGTAAGAAATCCTAAATTATGATGGGTCAGGTCTGCAATACTAGAGTAAGATCGTAGCCTCTGGAAGGTGACACTTAGGAATGACAGCATCTGTTTGCTGATAAAAACCTTAGGCGTATCTGTCTTAGAAATAAATACCTATTAATATACTTCTAAGATCTGTGTATGAGTATACATGCACATATTTAGTAGTCTTAAGATTTCATATTCAAATCTAATTTATCACATGAACAATTTCAGTGACCTCACCAATCAGTTGGGGGCCACGTCTCAAGAATGTCAAAGTTTCAAATGGAATACAATTATTTTATTCTCATAATTTTCTTCTCCCCCGTATGTCCTCGTGCTGAGCAGCATGATTTTTCTACTGTGTCATTCAAGCAAAATATTACTAGTACCCTCAATCTTTTTTTTTTTTTTTTTTTTT